ACTGCAACTTGCTGGCTGCGTTGACGCAAGTGACAAAGGGGAAGTACAGTCACATTCGAGTTACATGCTCAAGAATCTCAGGCGAAACTTGGATAGCAATTCAAAGCAGACCTGTAAGATCTGATTTTAGACTTCCTGCTTTATGGCCATGTCACTACACCCACCAGATTCAGGGGAACTAACAGGCCATCCATATTGGACCGAATTTTCACTAATGAAGTACTGATGGTCGAGAGAGTGATAACCGATACTCCTCTGGGCCGCAGCAATCTTGCGACGCTAGGGTTTCATTGCACAAGCTACGAGGATTATCCTGAAGAGCGTGCCGAGGAATATCATGTCGTAACCAACTATGACCACCTGTCCGACCTCATTGATGCAACAAGCTGGTCGTTTTTAGCCGAATTTATCCCCGAGTTGGCCTGCGGTGAATTCTTCAACATAATTAACAAGCTTGTGGCAAGCACATTTGAAACTAAACTCTACCTGCCCAAAAGGAGCAGGACACGTAAATGCGTGGCAATAAGGGACTTGGCATGGCCCAGCTACAGAGCCACCTCGAGCGACGAAAACTGGGAAGTCCACACAATAAAAATGAGTCACTGTGTTAAACTCGTTCGGGACGAAAAACTGAAGAACTAACAAGGTCTAGTGGGAATGTTTTGCACCAATCTTAAACTGCTTTACAGACACGTAAACAATTTGCGTCGTGTTAAGCGCGGTATTCCTGCTCTGCACACAGCATGCGGATTAGCCCAAACAGCACAAGAGGCGGCCAGCTTCCTTGGACAACAATTTGGCCGTACCTTCCAAAGCGTGCAATCATCAGACATCGCGCCTAAGCAGATAATGTCGCCATCAGGGATTATTCACATATCGTTTACCTCCGCAGCCGTACTGAGGAGGCTGATGTCTCTGCTCGAATTCAACTCCCCGGGTGCGGACGGCATTTGCCCGAAGGCGTTGAAAGTTGCTGCCATGAGTTTGGCGGCGCCACTAGCGATTCTTTCAAGGATGTCTGAACGAGATGCACTTCCCCACGATATGGAAGCACGGAATCATCACGCCTATCTACAAAAGTGATAGTTGTGCTGAACCAACAAATTATCGCCCGATAACACCACTTCCTGTGATCTCCACGGTTATGGAGTCCACTGTAGCTGAGGTTTTGATGGGGTACCTGGAGAACAACAAAATTCTTGTTCCAGAGCAACACGGATTTCCTCAAAATCGGTCCTGTACCACTAATCTGTTGATTGCTCGTGCAAGCTTGACGGAATCTGTGGACGCTGGTGTAGGAGTCGACGCGGCCTACCTGGATTTCTCAAAGTCATTCGACCGTCTAGGCCATCGCATTCTGCCCCACAAAATCCAGAATTATGGAATCGGCGATCCTGTTCTGGGCTTGATAGGACACTCTCTCGCGCAACGTCACCTGAATGTGAGGGTTCGAAGCAACCTATCGGCCTCCATTGAAGTTCAGTGCGGCGTCCCTCAGCGCTCGGTAACTTGACCCCGCATGCGCTTGGTTTTCTTAAAGGATCACGCGAGCGCGTTAGCTTCTAACTGTTTGCTATTTGCTGATGATCTAAAGGTATGACGTACTATAGCTGCAGTGGAGCTTCACACAGCGTTACAGAAGGAGCTGGACAAACAGCACACATCGTTCATTGAGAACATGCTGCATTTTAGCGTCACCAAGTGCAAAGTTCTCAGCATACGGCACAAGAGCATGCACGAATACCGCCTAGGACCACAAATTTTACAGCGGGCTTCTCACGAGTGCGACCTCGGCTTGATAGTCCAAGATGACCTTGGTTGTTTGAGGCAGACTGAAAAGGCATCTAAGAAAGCAAACCAGTACCTCGGCCTTCTTCGCAGAGCTTTCGGGAAGTATGACCCTTCAGTTTTTCCAAAAATGCTTAGTGCGTACGTGAGACCGCACGCGGAATACGCTATTCAGGAGTAGCGACCCTGGCTCAAGAGCCGTCTAACCGCGCTCGATAATGTGCCCCGTCAAGCAACGAAGATCGTCAGAGGTTTGACCACCCTCCCCTACTCACTCAGACTGAAGACCCTCCAAATATACAGTGGACGAAATTGGCGTCTACGGGGCGATCACAAAATATTGTACCAGATCTTGAGAAACCCCAACCAACCAAGTCATTTCCTTCTAATACACAAACAACCCGCTAAGAGGTCATCAGTTTAAGCTGGTCAAGTAGTACAGCCGACTGGAATGTCGACGAAACTATTTCTCCCTTCGAGTGTCACAGCATTGGAACGCAATCCCGTAACATACACTTAATGCTGCCATCCTATCCCTTTTCAAAAAACACCCTAACGATACTCTGTCACATATGCACTACGCGCTATAGCTCATGACTACCAGATGACACTAATGCACAACAGACAGTGGACGGTGCCATAACCCTACTCGAGAATGAGTCGCTCCAAACCTCTTGCACATAATTTGATAAATGTTACTACCGTAGCAACTGGATTTCTGTATCCCGTCGACCCAAGGTAGATGCGTACGAGTAACCGTTGTCCTGGCTATGTTTTATTTTCTTCTCGCTAATAACCTGCTCGATAACCACTCTGCTAATTACTTTGTGTGCACACGTTCTAATTTCAAACACCCTTTATACGGCAGTGCAGATAAATCTGTAATCGCCCGAACAGAGGATTCCATTATCGATGAGCAGTAGGGGGAGTTGAATGGTATAGGAAGAAGTTCGTCACATGTACACTTAATCAGACCGCCGTCACAAGTTCAGGACAGCACTGTACGGGCGTTTCATCCTTTCGGAAATCGTCAGCAGTGCGCATTCCATTGGACTTTGGTAGGGCTCGAACCCGCAACACAACTGTTTCCAGTCCGTGGTTGAGACCACTGAGCTACGGGGGATGGCAACGACGGTAGTGACAAAGTTACTAGATATGATATAGCGCCGCTCATTATCAACTGACTTGCAAATTATTGCCGTGCAGAGGATAAGGTAGCCCCCTCACCAGGCGACGAGCTCACCAAACTTTAGCCGCCAATGGGTCTGCGTACTGTTTAAGGATGAGTGGTAGGGGGAGTTGAATGGTAAAGGAAGAATTTCGATGCGAGTTGCTTTCTGTTGAAGAAGAACAGACCGAAGTAAGAGGATGAATCTGCCAATCGAATAAACGCAGCTCATAAGTAGGGGCCAGCTCAGATTTGACGACACCGTGCCGCTCACCCCGGCTGGATGTAGGCATGTTTATCGTACACATTATTGCTCATAATTTCCCGAACTTAATCGAGCTCGGAGGCTGTTGAGCAACTTACACCAGATGCAAAACCTTTGAGCATGCCCTTTTTTGGTCAAGTACATCCGAAGAGTGAGCGGAAGGTGCTCACCAATATGGTGAAACTGAACGGGCCTGTCGCTGCTGGCTGTCTGAGGATACGCAGTGAGATGTCATGGACTAGCAGTGTTGTTATTCTGTCGAACTCGCTTTTAACTTGTTTTAAAAACTATGACGACGCGGGAGATGTTTTGAACCATGAAGGTTCTGCTATACCGGGGACACTGCTTTCAGCTAGAAACGTAATCGCCTAATCACAAAGTTAATTGCCATGTGCTAAGTCATCATCTTGATATGGTGACAACGTTGATCACACAATTAATAAGGTCATTGGTAGAGCGTTTTAACTGATTGACTGTCACATACTGTTAATTAGCGTTGGAATAATGCTTTTGCTCTCGATCCATAGGAGCATTTTGTAATGGAAGTTGGTTCAAACCATCCGGTGAATCTGTCAACACAACACCTGAAGCGGTCTTGATTGCAAATTGCATTGGGATCTTCTTCCATAAAATCCCTGCGTAAATGAATTCGTGAACTATCGAAGTCTATTCCACGAAAATCTGTGGTAGTAATGGAAATGCAACCTTGACTTCCACGGTCCGTTCTGAACAGCGTTTAACTACTGAACTAAATGTGATAATGACAAGCTAAGTGACGCCCTTCTAAGTAGTGATTTAATTTGTGACGAGTTCAACAAAATTAGACATCGTGAACTAACGTGAGGATGAGAAGACTATACTCAATAACATTAGACGCACAAAAATCTTGTGTGAACCCCCAGATGAAAATTTTCCATTTCCTTGTACGCCATACTTCGAATTTGAATTGATATGAGTAACCGGTACCTTCACCAAACCTCGAATTGGTGCATTCGTTTGTTCGTTGAATAAATGCCTTGCATATATCTTAATTCTTTTCTGACCCATTTTAGCTTAGCCAAGGACTCAAGGTGGAAAAATGTCTTGTTAGCAGTAGAAAAGCAAGTTAACATGGTCAAATCCAGTGCTGTTTGTCTATTTTTACTGCTAAAGTGGAGTCTGCGCTAATAAACGTATGCTTAGCTTCATAAATTAAAATATACTGCTCCCAGGTCGCAGCATTGTTCGTTGGTTGTGCGTAAACCATAGTCTCTAATCCAAAATGCCTATTAAGATGTGTGTGGTATTGATTTGCCTGTGGGGTACTAGCTACTTGTAACAATTGGCAGTGAAAGTCTAAAGAAAGCTGTATTACTGGTGTCGCCCTATTTGTGCACTAGAACTAGCTAGTCAGGACGGCATGTTTAGACAACCTGTGGCAGCTTTGCCCATAATTTTTGATTAGACCATGTACGTTTTACCCGAAGTGCATGTTCCGCTTCTCTGAGTATTGCTTATTCCTTACCTTGATTATGCGGTAACGAGTAATCGTCTTGAATTACGGCTATCGTTGTTGGCAAATGGACGCATAAATTGATCCTACTACTAGAAAATACGATATATCGTGCATCACGTGCCAGATATCTATTGTAACAACAACCTGAACTTATGAAATATTTGTTAACTTTTTTAACTAGTCATTGTGAATGAAATTTCAAGAAGAGGATAAAAGGTAGACTATTAGTTTGTGGGGTTTTAATAGTCAAGACTCCAATTAGATGGGTTGTTAGGTGCTGTCCATCACGGGAGAACAATGCACCGATTTTTGCAATTGTTATTCAGTAACAGTTCATAAAAATGCTGTATCTGCATTAGAGTCACTGCCATCGGAAATACTTTGATGGGATATCTTTTGTCGCATTTCACTTCGCATTGTGCTGTGTTCTTAATCACGGCATCAGTGACCATCAGGAAACGCAGTAGAAGTACCTGTAAAGGCATATAACAGCAAACTAAATAGTGATTGGCACTGAAACCACCAACAAATGGAGCATGTAATATTTTTAGTAGGTGGATTGTGTTCCATGAAAATATGACACTCACCAACACTGCTGTCAACTCCATTGTGCATCAAAACGCGATACGAGCGAATTGAGCAGCTAGCAGTTTAGATGTATGTCGTCGCTCTAAAAGTGACCAATAATATACCGTTAAAATTAACAGTCAACCAAATGTAAGTATCACCATACGTGATGGCTTGGCATAACATTTATGCAAGCATATATGGTCACAAACTATATGGAAGTTACTCTGGACAACAAATTGCGAAATCGTATAAACCTTTATTATACACAATGCTGTGTTCTATCCGTTCCACAAATTATGTTGTCATAACTAAACTGTTCACTCGTATTTCACGGAGCACTTGCCGAGTGCCACTTCTTAAGCTATGTAACACATTCTCATTTGCACATATGTTATTAGCAATATTCTTGCGAAAATGTTATAGCTATATCCAACTCTCTGTTAGCTCAATTTGCTTTACAAACTGATGGCTCGTGTTACCCTTGTTGCTAGGTAATACACATCAAGTTTGACGAAATATCATCGAACACGGGTCAAGTTGATTACCGCGCATGATTTCCAGGTGTATCCACAGCGCTACCGTTTAGAAACGGTTCGAAGTTCAGTTTAGAAATAGAAGGGATTTTTAAAGTTTTGTTTAGCATATACCTCTATATCTCACTTGAAAATGAAGAGAGTTTGTTTCTTTTGATAGACTGAAAATGGATTATGTTATCGGCTCACAAGCTATTTGCTATAGCATAGCAAAATAATAGTTGACTTTCAGAAGCAGCCATGTCAGTGGGTTAGTTTGGTCGTTTATATGAAACGTCAAGCGTAAGTGAATTTATCCGTGATGGCAAATGTGAAAACAACGAGAGGAGTTTTACGCTAATGGACGTATATCAGGAACAACTTCTTAGGCGTTATTTCGTCATCTATTCGGAATGTGCATGGTTTCGTTTCGTGACACACAAACTATTAACCCATATGATAAAAATTGATAAGAGAGTAAGTGATCCTAGTATTCACTTACCACGTGCTATTATTCGCAGGAAAGTCATGGCGTTTGTTTCTGAATGATTGTTTTAGATGCAGTTTCGTCGAACTAAGTGAACATTGCATCAATACTGTGTAAACTCACCAAATGATTTTAAAAAATACAGGTAATTTGAGAAATTGAAGGCAGTAGTTCCATTCAGAAATATGAAAAGCAAGGTAATAAGACCGAAACTTACAGTTGCACTACTCGGCAAATATATGAGTCACCGAAGACGCACATGAGTGAAATAACACTTAGGCCGATTCTATTAATGGTAAATGCTCCGCAGCATAAATTGGTTCGCTGGCTGGTGAAGATACTTTCGCCTCTGCGAAAACTGTCCAATCCAAATAGTCTTAAATATTCTTCTATCGATGATTTAGATGACATCAATCTCTCAGATAAGATCATGTGCTCCTTGGAACTGGAATCCCTATTCACCAACGTCCCATTACATATTTGAGCTAACTGGGCAATCTAGTTATTCGTTACCAATTCCAGTCGAATTTCTAAAGGAATCATTACTTCTGTGTACAGCAAATGTTGGCTTCCACTTCGAGAACACCCCATATCGTCAATTAGATGGGATGGCAATGGGTAACCAACTAGGCCTTGTATTTGCCGATTTTTTCATGCTGATGATAGAAAGAGGTATATCCGCAGAAATAGCCCAGTTATCATGCCATAAACGTTATGTGGATGACATATTGGCCTTTTGTTCATCAGGGGCAGCAGATTGTCCAGTTTGCGCAGCAAGTCAACTGTGCACGTATCAACTTGCGGGTCACCTGCGAAGTGGAACAAAAGAACTGTCTGCTATTCTTAGACATCCTTATCAGTCGCAGGGATGACGGGCACATTAGTAGGTCTATTCACAGAAAAGCAACCTGGTCCGGCCAGTACCTACATTTCAACAGCTTCACATCAGTGCGGTACAAGCAGACCCTTAGGAAAAACTTAGTTAGTCGTGCTAGACGAATTTGCTCGGCTGATTGTCTAGCCGACGAGCTAGAGTTAATTGCAACAACACTCGTAACAAATGGTTATTCACATAGATTTGTAGAGAAACACAGCCAGCAGAGAGGTCCGAAAGACTTGGTGCATACGGCAACGGAGAACGAGATCTATATCGCGTTACATTTGAAGGGTGACTTGGCCGTATTGAAAACCACGAAACGTTTAATCTCTCTCTGCTGTGTAAAGAATTTACTGTGCTGCTCAGGTTGTGGTCATCAATAGAACCTGTAACTTGCCAGTGCCTCCAAAGAAGGCAGCTCAACCGATAGGGGCCAACCAACACTGCATCTACAAATTCGTATGCGACTGCGGGGAGAGTTACATAGTCAGAACCAATCGGTCTTTGACTTCCCGAATAAAGGAACACATGTCAATGTGGGTTCAACGTGAAATTGACAAGCATCCCTGTCCCACTGAAGTTCCGTGCTTGCGCAAGGCGCCAGCTTCCTCAATAGGTAAACACCTACTGACTACGGGTCACCGGATAGAGCTTCGATCGGCGTTCACAGTTGTATTACGTCACCCTAATCCCCGCTTCCTCCGTTTCGCTGAGGCTGTTGCGATAAGCCGGATGAAGCCGGCCCTGTGTGTTCAAAAGTAATTATTATTTATCAGTTTAAAACTGCTGTGGACATAGGGGTGGAACTTCCGTCACTCATTTTTCACCTCATCCTTATTCGATTACACGCATAGTTAAGTATATAGTTGCATACCGGTTATAGTTAATGGTACTGAGGAAACAATACGAACTGCGTGCAACTACCATTTTCCATCTTCTTACCGTGCTTTTCAAATAAAGCTCAGTCTGACACCTTTGCAGCAGCATCCTTTTGCGCGTGCAGCGGCGTGAGACAAGGATGCCCGCTGTCACCTTTCCTATTCAACTTCGCTGTTGACGAATTCATAGAAATCGCCTTCACAGGATACGATTTATAGAAAGTGTGGATCTGCACCCAGGAGAAGGACTTCTTGACTTTGAGTATGCTGATGACGCTGCCCTAATCTGTGACAGCTCACAAACGTGTCAAGCGGCACTAGACAGATTAGCACTAGCTGTTCGTCACTTCGGGCTTTGCTTCGCACCGTCAAATTGCAAAGCGTTCCTCCAAGATTGGTCTGGACCGCCCTCTACGCTGACCCTTGGTGAGGATCAGCTACAAGTCGTTCAAAAATTCAACTACCTGGGAAGTTGTATCAGCAACCGTAGGATTGAGGACGAGATCATGAACCGTATGGCAAAAGCTCGGGGAGCATTTGCTAACCTTCGCCACTTATGGCGCCGGCGCGGCATCACTCGTGCCCTGAAAGTTAGAGTGTACAATGCAGCAGTACGTTCGACCCTATTGTACGGTTGTGAAACCTGGCCGCTTAAAGCAGCGGACCTGAAGAGGCTAGTTACGTTCGACCACCGGTGCCTTCGTAATTTAGGTCACATTTGGTGGGAACTCCGCGTGAGCAACGACCGTGTTCGATGCCTTGTTTATGGCACAGGAAAAGGAAATGAACCGGTCAGCACGATCATTTCACGCACCAGGCTCCGATGACTCAGCCACGTGTTACGCATGCCAGCCCACCGACTCCTGCGACGTGCGTTGTCTGCGGGCCGGAGGTGTGGATGGAAGAAGAAGAGGGGTGGTCAATCGATGACTTGGTCGAGAGGAATGAAGGTCCTCACATCTGAGCTGGCCTTGGTTGGAGCGTCTCGACTTCCTGTTTCTGGTCCGAAAGACGATGAACACGTTTGGTTGGATGCACCTGCTGATATGGCTCGGAGCCGACCTCAGTGACGTTCGTGCTGTGAGTTTCTTTGTCCCACTTCATCCTTTTAGCCTCCCCCTCCAACCACGATCTCATTATTTAGCGTTATATTATTTAGCATAGTATTTTTTTGATGTACAGTAGCCGGCTGGTAGCTTACCGGAACGACGCCCATTCGTTACCGGTGGCTCAGCCGGCTTGCACCAGCTAATTTTACTTCTCCTTTTTTCTGTGTATTGCGGCACAGTAGCTGAGGTGTTCCCTACCTCTAGCTAACATGTATGATGATGATGATTTTGCGCGCCATCGGAACTAGGGCGGCTCTAGTTGCATGAGTAGCTCAAAATATCTCGCTCGTAATGTAAATTAACTTCCATGAAAACAAAAGTTCCTATACAATCTTTGCCTAAGCGTATTCGACGTGAAGTAGGCACATCAAATAATTAACTTTCTCCATGCAAATAACACAGTGGATAACGTGCTTGCATTTCGATCTAAACCGCGGTATATCTTTCTTAGTATAAATGTTCAAATTTTAGCCATCCGCAATGAATGAGTCAGTTTTAAATCCAGGACTTCATGTGAGAACAGGTACTTTAGCGCCACGTGTCATTTTGAATCGCTTTCTAAAATCATGTAGCTGTTCGTTCGTGGTTAGACAATTAGTATCGTTTCCTACTTTGTCACATTTATTGTTCGAACTTTTAAAAAGCTTTCAAGTACAACCTTTCTACTAGCTTTATTTGATCACTCACCGAAAAGCATTGCATCAGTTAAGGCCAGTTTTGTACTTCATCCATATCTTAGAATGCGTTAGCACCCAGTCACATACAGAACACGTTTACGCAAACATCCCGGTTTTTGGTTTCTCAAAATCAATACTGACCTGATTGGAAGATTAACTCAGTGCTCAGATGTAGACAGCCAATATAGGCGAGTATCTCTTAGTGAACGTATGTTCCTATTGGTGTGTTACACTGTTGTGTAACGGGCCCTAATTTCCTACATCTATGCATGAGGTATTTTCCTTGCAACGAGAAACGGAACATCTGACCCAATCACAAATGATAGAAACCTTATGCCTTCCAATTATTGATTTATTTGAGACCCAAATTGACCTAGTCTCATTGTAAGAATTTTGCTTTGTATTTTTCAACTTGCACGTGCAACATCATATGCTACGGATGCAGAGGTTTAGCGGAATCTTTGGCTTTTCATGACGTTCGACTCCTCTTAGGTGACT